CAGAAAGGCTTCTAAAGGAAGTGCCATTTGAGCTAGATTTTAGAGGATGAGTGAGGTTTTGGCCTCAGTTTGAATGCATTGGAAAACTATAGTTCTTTGGCTTCAAAGATTTCTGATTTTCTTTCAAGTTGTTGCTATTAGTCTTCTCTGATATGTTTTCTTTTAAAAAAATATCAAATTACTCGAATGAGAACATACTTGTCTATAAATTAACAAATGACAAATACCACCGTGATCAGCTGCCCTTTCGATGTCAAGAACTGTGGACAGCTGAACACTGTGTTGCTCCATTAGCTGTTTCCAGGCTGGCTCTTTTCAAGTCATGTACAGATGGTCATTTTCTCTTTCAGAGTGAATATAACTTTCTAAAGCTTTCTTCTTTGCTCTTAGCTTAAGAAAGGAGGAATTTACATTTCAAGAGGGTGTCTATACTTAAATGTGATTTATTAATTGGGTAGATTAGTTCAGGGTACAAACAGTATTTCTGATGTTTCAAAGATGTACTGTTGGTCCAGTGAATCAGGCTAGTGTCTCTGTTAAGGGTCTGAATATTTATGTGCTCCTTTCCCCAAATTCATGTGTTGAAATCCTAACCCCAAAAGTGATGGCATCAGGGACTTTAGGAGGTGATTAGGTCATGATGATGGAGCCCTTATGAACAGGGTTATTGCCCTTAGCTCGTTTGCATCTTCTACCATATGAGGACACACCAAGAAAGTGCTGCATATGAGTCAGAAAGCAGGCCCTCACCAGACACCAAATTTGTCTTGATCCTGGACTTCCCAGGCTTCATAACCATGGGATATAAATTTCTGTCGTTGATAAACCACTTAGTTTATATTTTGCTATAGCAGCCTGATTGGACTAAGACATGGTTGTAATAGTGTCTCCCTAATTGTCCCTCATTCACCCCTATCTCAATACTGTGACTAAAATGAGACTTGAGCAATCTCTCACAATTTTCACTGGTAAGGAGTCTTTCTTTTGCAAGTGAGAAAAATCCAACTTAAATTAGATTAAATAAGAATTTTGGTTGTTTCATGTTCATGGAAAGTTGGAAAGGTTAAAATTTTGACATCTTGGATCCAGGGATTCAAATCATGTCATCAGAAAGTTGTCTCATTTTTTACACCTCTCAGCTTTCCCTTCCAATTGGAGCCTTTTTCCAGCAGCTGCTTCTTATGCAGTAGCAAAAATGGTTGCTGGCCTCTCTAAGCTTACACTCTACTTATAGAGATCCTAGAAAATGCACTGATTGCCTAGCTCTGGAAAAAGTCCTGGGATTGAGTCTGAATTGACTGGAATTGAATTCCATCCTAATCTCTGAACCAACCATTGTGGCCAGGGGTGATTGGGTTCTCTGAGTAACCCATGCTGTATTAAGCGTTACCCTTGGACCTAGAAGGTGGGGTCAGACTCCTGAGCCACTTGTACTAAGATTAGGGATGAGACATTCTCCAAAATATGTTGGGAAGAAATAAAGCACATATCCCCTATAAACCTGTAGATGGCTGTGTCAGAATTTCAACCTAGTTCTGTGTGATGTTAGAATATACGGTGACCATGATAATCTGGTCATCCATTCATTTAACAAAATTGAGACACTTTGGAAAGCTATAGAATGTAATGATAAATAAGAAATAAAATGTGCCTGCTCATATGGAGTTTATATTCTAGGTTACGGCAGAAAATAAAATATTCAAAAATAAAGCCAGAAATATAATTTTAGGTAGTGGTAAGTTCTATAAAGAACTGGGCTGGGTGAGTGGTTAATTTAGCTAATGAGAGGGAGATGACATTTGTGCAGGGACTGGATGAAGTTATGAGCTTTGGGGAAATTTGGGGGAAAACATTTCCGTAAGAGGGACAGCAAGAGCTTTGGGTAACAACTTACATGGCTTGGATTCTCTTTTCACTAAATTTATTTCCTTCCCTCTTTCTTAGATATCAAACATCTAGCATTCTATTTGTTACCTTCATAACTAAATTTGGACTTCTGACAACATGGGTTCTTAATTTTTTCTTTTTTTACTTACAGCAAGAAGCTGAAAAAGGGGTTCTTAATTTTTGTCCCTGAGAACAGCCACAGTAATGGTGCTTAAATGATGTACACTTAATTTTGTAGTCATGCTAGATTTGAGAACTATGCTGGCACCTCTCTCTCGATTACTAACTCTGTGCTCTTTTGTCAAGGTGACAGCTGTTTGTCACTTCCAATGCTTCTATTTTCCCCTGCCACTTCCGTTGTTTGTCATCTTGGCTGCTTGCCATTTGCTTATTTTTCTTTCTTCTCTCTATATATCTTTTTCTGTTATTTCATCCAGACGGCTTGGATTTTTCACAAATTGGCTTGGCTCTTACAATCATTACTAACTATTTAGAGAGTATCCTTTCATTCTACGTAATAAATCAACCAAGCATAGCATATTGTGTGCAACCTTCAACTCTTCTATTCTTAACAATTTTTCTGTTATTCTTGTTTTCCTCTTCTAGAGGTACTTATCCAGCCCCTACCCCCCCCCCCATTAAGTCCCATCCTGAAAGGTTTAGGATGCAGGATGACTGATCTATCAGAGTCATTATTCTATTTGTTTTCTTGCTCTTTGTAGCCTGCATCTACACTAAAGTCAAACACCTGGGTCCTTATATTTACCAAATCCTTTAGATTTAATCTTGGCAACATGTCTCACATTCATTTTCCTTTTTCTCACTACCTTCAGCAAAACCAACCTATTTCAGATTCTTACAGTCTCATGCCAATGCTAATGTCCTTTCAGCTGGTCACATCTCTGTCTGTCCTTTATTGTGTATATTTTATATTTTCACCAACATTATTCCTAAAATACTGCTTTCATATCATCTTCCTCATGATCAACATTTCTCAAATTCTTAACACCAAATAGAATGAAGTACCAACTCTTTAGCCTGGCATTCTGCATACTTCATGGTAAGTTATAAATCCACTATATTCAACACTCATCCTGCAAGCTGTCTAAGATCTCTGCTCTCTAGGCAAACTAATCCAAGCACGGTCTCTACATGCATATTGAACAGCCCCGACTTCACACTTTGGTTTCTAAACTTGACTCCTTCCATCCATCCAGAATGATCTCCCTGTTCATCTTTGTTTCTATAAATAAAGCCAACAAAAAAGAAATCTGGTTCATATTCTGTATCTATTTTGGAGCCCTCTGTCATGATCCAAGTTGGAAGTTGTCATTCCTTCTAAATCATTGTAGAACTTAATATATGAAACTCTGATATTATTAATTATTTTTGTATAGGTGTAGAATATCTCTGCCATCTTGCTTGTATTTCTCCCTGTCTTTGCATTTGTTTGCATTTCTGTTCTTAGTGCCTGTCTAGTGTTCTCTTGAACATATGCATATTGGCTGATTTGTTTTCTTGTAATTATTGTAGTTTTATGATAATGTGGAAGACTAAGGCTAAACTCACTTAATAGATACCCATATCTATATAGATATCATCATATATGTTAATCTATATTTCTATAGATATCTATATCTATATCAAGGACATTTTTTCAAATGAATAAAAATGCTGATAGCTAAAATGTCTTTTTCAGATAGCCAAGTTTCCTTGACTTTTTACTATTAATATTTCATTTCTGATATGTAGAAAACATCCCTAACCACTAAAATAAAAAAATGAATAGCCTTTTTATTAGAGTTTGAAGATATTTTTATTTTCCAAATCTTTCTTTCTTAAAAACAAAGTACTGGCAATAACAGTAGGTGTCGCTATAGCAAAAGAAACCAGCTGTTAAAAATGATGCCTTTTTTTTTTTAAATTCCTTTTTCTAGGAAACATTATGCCCTTACAAGAGAAATTATAGACTAATTTGTTGAAGCTCAGTGTGTCCATCTCCCTGCTTTGAGGAAGGCAGTCTTCATTTGAACCAAAATCTTACTTAGCCTAACATATCTTTGGAGTAGGAAATTTATGGCCTTCTGGAAAAGTAGTTTTAATTTTTATAAACCTTGAAGTTCTTTTATAAATACAATTAAAATTCCATCCTCTAGATTTTGAGTCATTTATCCTTATTCAATTTCCAGAAAAAAAAATAATGTAATTACATATTTCCTCACTAAAATTTTATTAATTACCTACATAATTTATCATTCTGTGAATTGGAAATAGAAACACCTTATAAATTTGATGCTGAGCATGAAATGAGGTATTATATGCATTCATTCACTTATTTATTAACCAAATTTAGTTGAGCACCTGCTATGTACCAGGTATGGTGGTTACAGGACAGACAATGGCCCCGTCCTTATCCTGCTGACGGTCTAGTAGATTTATGCAGGTTCGTGTACATTATGAAGCTTTAATTACTACTCAAGGGTAAGAGGTGCAAATTATTATTCTTGAGTTCTTAGGCCAAATAGATTGCTATGAAGCCATTTTTATTTTTGTTTTTAAGAGAAATAATAATAGGTATTATCAGCTTTTTACCACCTGGCATCTATTCACTCTCTGGTAATAGCTCCATGACAATCCTCCAGGGTATCACCCCATTTCACTTTTAGTTCATGTGGTTTGAGTGACACTGATTCCTTTTCAGCCTCTAAATGTGGGTATGAGACTCTGATCTGGTCAATTAGAGTTTTATATCCCAGTGTCTATAAAGTGATCACAAACCAGACCTCCCATGGTCTGTCTCCTACTTCGCTCTGGACCTGTTCTCCTGTCACTACCTGCTTCACATCACACCTGTACACGTGGTAGTTTTGCTTATATTATTCGCTTGTTGAGCTTGCTTATGTGGGCCTCTTTTCCTAGGGTGCCCTTCTCCTTCCTCTTCTTTAGTCAAGTCTATACATCTTTTAAAACCTTGCTAGTTAAGTCTCCTCCAAAAAGGCTTTCCTATCCTTCGGAAAGTGTCCCTTTTGAGAGCTTCTTCAACCCCTGGGGCAGTTTTTCTCTGCAATTTTGCATTGTTTTCACAATATTCTGTGTTTCTGTTCTCCACTTAGATGGTGCACTTCCAGTGTCTGAATTCTACTCCTCCATGTGTTCCTGGCACCTCACCTGATGTCTGGGCCCCTGTGGCCACTTGATACAGGTATGTTGACTGGAAGCACTTGCACTTACCACCACCGTGGCAGAAACCTGTCTTTCTGTGACATGCCTTTGCGGAATGGCATAGTCCTGAAGAAGAGTAGTTCAAATGACTGTGTGCCGAATCATTCCAACACTCCACTGTTTGTGTCTCTAAGAGAAGTAGATTGCATTCATTAGTCTCCTCAGGTTTGCCTTAGGGAATGATATCACAACTTCATTCAACAAGTATTTATTGAGCTTTGTAGCCTCCCTGGATCATTCAAGCTTGCTGCGTTGTTTGTGATCTCCTCTAGCGTGTGCAGCTTGGGCTATTATTTTGGCAATTAATCATAAACTATCTTGTGACATTTCTCCTTTGTGATGCATTTTTATGTAGTACTTGGCCTATTATTTAATATTTTACACCCTTGCATATGAATAGGGATCATTTATTTATTAGCATATTGATTACTTCCTCATTAAATCGTTTCTGAGAATTCATTATATGTTCATATCATTTTTCTTTTTGCATATGATATCAGTCTGGGTTCTGTTCAGGCTAGCAACAGAAACTGGGCAATTTAATAAAAAAAGGCAATTTATTGGAAGGATCTCCGGGAATTCACTGAAAGGAAGAGAGGACTGGAGAACCAGGCTTAGGAAAGAAAAGGCAGCCCCGGAAGTTCTCAGTGGCGGAGGTCTGCAGGACAGTGTTGCAACACGACCATTGCTGGTAAGAATGACTCTCTCTCTTTCCTCTTTCCACTTTCACTCTGATCAAGACTCAGTGTCCTGGGAGAACAGGGCCAAATTCAGGCTAGGCCAGGGGCTTGCTCCTTAGCTGTACTGGAATCGTGAGTGGGAGAAATTGAAGGAAAAAAGCCTTCAGGGGTTTCCTGGGTTTCTAGCAGACACTAGGGTGTATCAAGGCAGTTGAGGAACTCTCAAGAAATGAATGGATCTTGATGAGTTAAAACTATGATAAATATTAGCACTTATACTTACTTGTTAACACAGACTTGCTATCAAATTCCAGCACTGCCAGTGACTAATTGGATGGTCTTATACAAATTTTCTAACCTCTGTAGGTGCTATTTTTTCCTCACCTACAAAATGGGGATACTAATACATGGTGGTTTTAAGGATTAAATTAAATAAGGTGCGTCATATGAAAGGTGCTTATTACAGTGTTTCATAGTAGCTACTCAATAAATAATAGCTCTTATTGATTGATCTATGTGCACACACCATGAGGCTATTCTATGTATATGGAGCAAAAAAGCAGCAATTATTATTGCTGCTCTTGAACAGCTTGCAGTTTAATTAGAAAAAAGAACACATATGATTTAACTTAACCTTCACAAGTACCCTAGAATTCGGCAGAGATATTTTTATCATCTCAGTTTTTCATATGAACAATCAGAGATTCAGAGAAGTTTAGCAACTTGACAGTAGTCACACAGCTCTTAAGTGGCAGAGCTGAACCTTGAGTTGAGGTTTATTGGGTCCAATGCTCTTTACATTCGTAGAAATGGGTGTAGCTCAGTGAAGGGTATTGTAACTTAACTCATTTAAATTCCAATCAGCAAACTTTATCGAATATCTGCTATAACAGATCAATATGCTAGGTGCTATGAGGAAATATGAATATAATTAATACATAGACCCTGATTTCAAGAAAGTTACAGTCTAGGGAAAAAGATGGACACATACGCCACTTATGGAAATACAAGATAATACATGATAAATGCTGTGGTTTTCATTTCTTATGGAATGTGTCAGGCTCTTTATTAGGTGCTGAGGATTTGGTGATGAACAGAGCCATAAGCAACCTGTCCTCAAGGGGCTTACATGTTGTTAGAAGGTGACATAGAAGAACATAAAGGAAATATACACATAAACTAGTTTTAGATATCCATAGTGATGGGCTAGAAAGAAAATGAAGAGAGTTTTGTGATAATGAATTGGTGCTGAGTACTTTCTTTTTTAAATTTTTTTTTCTTTTTTTAGAGACAGGGTCTCACTCTGTTACCCAGGCTGGAATGCAGTGGTGCAATCATAGCTCACTGCAATCTCCAACTCCCAGGCTCAAGCAATTCTCCTGCCTCTGCCTCCCGAGCAGCTGGGACTACAAGCATGTGCCACCATGCACACCTAATTTTTTAATTTTTTGTAAAGATGGCATCTCACTATGTTACCCAGACTGGTCTTGGACTCCTGGCCTCAAGTGATTATCCCGCTTCAGAGTCCCAAAATGTTGGGATTACAGGCATGAGCCACCATACCTGGCCAGTGTTGGCTACTTTTAATGGAGTGCTCTTCTGTAGACCTAAAGAAGTCAAGCATGTGAAGTTATGTGGGAAGTGTATTCTAGGCAGAGGGAGCAGTAGTACAAAGACCATGAGGTGGGGATGAACTTGGAGTTTTGCAGAACAAAAATGAGACTGTGTGACAGGAACATAGAGAGTAGGGAGAACAGTGGTACACATGAGATCTAGAGATGTAGGTAGGAACCAAAAAAAAAAAAATGCAGATCCTTGTACACCACACTTAGAAGTGGTTAATCTATTATTCTGAGTTTAGTGGAAGCCCATAAAATTTAAGCAGGGAAATGATATTATTTGATGTGTTTTATGAGAAAGACCACACTCCCTGCTATGAAGAAATTTAATGTTCACCTGGGGCATTTAAGAAGAGAAAGAGTAATACTACTTTGAAAAAGCAGAGAGAGCAGGCACCTGGAGTCCCAACTACTCAGCTACTTGGGAGGCTGAGGTGGGAGAATTACCAAACTATTACCTGAGCATGAGTCTAGGAGTTTGAGACTTTAGTGTGCTGTGTTCACGCTTGTGAGTAGCCATGATACTCCAGCCTGGGCAACAATTAGACCCCCGTCTCTAAGAGAGAAGTTAGTGGAGGCATTGAGAAGGAGGGAGTGCTCTGACTAATGGGATGGGTGGGTCAGGTATTCCAGGAATAGGAGACACCATTAGCGAAGAAACAGAATTAGGAAGCATGAAGTGTGTTTGCACAACAGTGAATTTTCCGGTGTGGCTGGAGCATCCAATGTGAGGGGAGGATGTAATGAAATGGAACCAGGGAAGAAAGTGGGTTCCGGGCTATGTCTTGACAACATTCTGTAGGCAGCTGGAAACTGTTCTGTATTTTAGCAAGATGATGCTGGTGACTGCATGAAGGATATTAGTGTAGGCAAGAATACCTTTGGTGAGGTGCATGCACTAGGTCACGTGAGAGATGGTGAGGGCTGGGTAGTGAGAATGGGAGGAAGGAGACAGAGACAAGAGCTACTGACATGAGGAGCTGACAGTACTTGGTGGTGAACTGGGTCTCAGAGGTGAAGGGGAGGGAGACTCTGAAGACATCTACAATTCAAGTTAGGGGTGCCCTTTTCTGCAAGAGGAAGGTTGGAGGATAGGGTGGAGATTTCAGTTTTGAACGAGTCGAATGCGAGGTTTTGGCAGGACTTCCACATGATGATGATGATGCCGGAGAGACAGCTGGAAAGGCAGAGTTAGAGCTTAGGAAGTTTGGCCTTTAAGAGCACACCTATCCCAACTAATTTCTTATAATCTGTGAAAAAATTTGTGAATTTTAAGATATTTGCTATTTTCAAGAAGACATAAGTTTCACAAGTGTTTGTCAGAACCAACTGGCATTTTCTACCGAAAGGAAAGGTTTTCTTCTTCGAAAAACAGAATGTTCAGTAAAGGGAAAGCTGCTTGATGGTTTCGACTTCCTTTTCTTGCTTTGGAAGCCGAGTTATCAGACTTGTTCAAGCCTGAGGAAGAACATTAGAGAAGATTATAGCACAGTCTTAGTGTTATAAAAGGAAAAAAGGTCTTGTTCAAATAATAAAATAATGGAGAGATGGATGGTCTCTCATGTCCCTTCAGGGGGTAATAGGAGGGAATAGAAGAAAGCAAAATTTTTCAAGGAATTTATGTTTGATTATTTTGATAGCTCTAGAAAAAGTATCAGGCACAAAAGACTAGTTCTGGGGGGTGATATAAATTGCTAGATGATAAAAAAAGATGTCAATAAGAGATAAAGGAACTCTTTGTGAGAAAGGGACTCTGGAAATAAACGGCTCTTTGCAGTGCCAAGTTGAACAAACTACGAAACAAAATGGAAGGTTTGTGTTCAATGCTAGTCACAACAAGGGTAGGAGCCTTATTCTCTCCATTTCTTTGCCTTGTCATTATTATTATTATTAGAAAGTTATTATAACTTTCTTAACAGTTGCATTTTTTCACTCATGGAACAGGTAATAGTATTTTTTGCTGATGCTAATTTGAAGGTATGGAGCCAGTGGTGGGGAGTCACCTAATTTACCAACAAAGGTCATTTTTAATTGCTATCTCCAGTGTCTCAGGACTACATCGTTGCTTATCCAACATGACTCAGCCTTGGTGTTGGCACTGACTCATGGAGCTCCTGACAGAGGAGAATTAGTGTCACAGATTGACTGGGAAACCAATTCACATGAAGCCAAGAAGAGAAATGGGGCTGCTGTTGCTGAATCCGCAGCCGACCTTAATGATGCAGGCGAGGAAAAACGCCCATTCTGAGGGAGATCAGTTAATTTTGCACTGTGTTTGATGTTGCTATTATTGTAGTGACTATTGCCTTTCTGTTTTATATTTATTCATCTAAATTGTTTTGGAAGGACTCAGAGGTCTAGAGACATGCATACTCTTTGCAAAAAAGCATCATATTGTAGTGGAGGTAGTCCAGACTATAGGAATCTTATTTGCCGTGTCTTGGGCAAGTTGCTTGACCTCTGATCATTGTTTCTTTTATCTATCATTATATTGCCTCTGTATTTCAGACTCACTCTGTATCAGGCACTTATTTACTCTTATAGCAAGCTCAGGAGGAAAATACAATTGCCTTTGTTTTACAAGTGAAGGAACTGTAAATTTTCCAAGGACACATTGCTACTAAATAATAAATGTGAAATTTTAACTGTTTCCATTTCTTCCCAGAGCCAGTGCTCTTTAACTACACTCCTGCACTTCTGCTCATCTGTAAAATATGGATGATAATAAACACCTGTCATACAGCTTTGTACAGAATGATCAAATAATAGAACTGTGAAATGAGTAGCACCTTATTACACATTAGGCAATCAATAAATGGTTGATAGCATTACTGAAAATAATGAAGAAAAATATTCACTAAAGCACCCATAGCAGTGAAGTCCTTGCTGGAACATAACCCTTTGATTCTTCAGTGTGAGTTAGTATAATGCTGCCAGCACTTAAAGCCAAGGGTAACAATCACAATCTAAAGGAATGAATCTCTAGTAGTGAAATGTTGGTGGCTATAACATCTGCATGGAAAACACATTTTTGTGCATTTTAAATCACCATGGTAAGCAGTTATATTATTTCATGTTAACCTCAGCATACTTTTCCTTTAGTAAGATTTATCCTACTAGAAAGAAAACTGTTGGATTCAAAAGCGTGTTGAATCTGTACTAATCTGGGTGAGACTGAGGCTTTAAAATAAGTTTGTGAAGCATTAATTTGTATTTGGCATAACAAATACATTTCCTGATAGCTCTGGTAACTGTTATATAAGTAAATGCAAGCCATGTGATAAATAACAGGAAAAAGAGATTTCCAGATATTTACTGTAATAACAGCCACAGGGCGAGTATTGTTCTAGAAAAGTCCTGATCAGGACATAGAATAAAAAAGAATATGGTTTGGCCATTTATATCACTTAGGTGTAGACATTCATGAGGCCAAATCAAACATAAGCAAAAATATGTTGCTTCTAATGAGAAAGGACATAAAACTATGGCTTTGTTTAACAAGGACTAACCATACTAGATTATGACCTTCTTGAGCCCAAGAAGAGTATCTCATTTATCCTTTACACCTAGAATTTAGCTGTCAGAGGGAGCACTCATTAACTTTTGTTGAAGGAATGAGTGAATAATAATTGGCTTGCCTATCCAGAGGAGAAAATGAACAAGCTCAGTTTATTAAGGCAAATGCTCATCTGATCTTGTCTTGATGGGTTGAACCCTTGAAAGTTGCTAAGGGAGAACTTGACCCAGCTGGCTGCCAAAGGACAGCACATCGGGCTGAGGATCATCTAACTCCCTAGTTCAAAAAGCAAGATGGCCGGGCGCGGTGGCTCACGCCTGTAATCCTAGCTCTCTGGGAGGCCGAGGCGGGCGGATTGCTCAAGATCAGGAGTTCGAAACCAGCCTGAGCAAGAGCGAGACCCCGTCTCTACTATAAAAAAAAAAAAAAAACAGAAAGAAATTAATTGGCCAACTAATATATATAGAAAAAATTAGCCGGGCATGGTGGTGCATGCCTGTAGTCCCAGCTACTCGGGAGGCTGAGGCAGCAGAATTGCTTGAGCCCAGGAGTTTGAGGTTGCTGTGAGCTAGGCTGACGCCATGGCACTCACTCTAGCCAAAAAAAAAAAAGCAAGAGAATTCAACTGGGACACATGCCCTTTTTGTTTTGTGTCTGGTGAGCAAGGGGTGGTGGTGGGGAGGACGGTGGGGGATCTAAAGGCAGATGGGTATCTTGGATGGAAGCAATCATGATTGAATTGAAAATCTTAAGAGAAGGGAGGAAAGATAAGAGAAAGTTAAGGGAAACAGTTGAATTTTTCCCGGTTCATAGTACAAGTCGGAAGATTTTGATTGCAGTGAATTTCAAGAGACAAAGGAGTTTAGGAAAGTTGGTTGTTGTATGGAAATAGTTTCTCTTAGGACTAGGCAACAGAGATTCCAGCATATAGAATTTTAAGAGGGATAATAACATCAAAGTGACTTATTTGATTCTCACACAGCCCTAGCGGATAGGAATTTTTATTATCCTCATGAGAGGTATTGGGACTTTTAAAGAAACCAGAAAACTTGCCTAGGGTCACATGGTTAGAAGTGCCTGGACCACATCCATACTCTTAATTACTTAATAGTACCTACCTCAAGGATTATTAGGTTTAAAGCATAAAAAATGTTGCAGAAAAGGCAGCAGGCACCAGTTTTTAGCTCTTTACAGGAAATAATAGCCCAGTGGTTGGGCAGCTTGTTGGAGTTTGATTTATAAACCTTGGCTTTTTGAATAGTTTTTCTCTTGACATTCTCTACATAGTGCATGAAAGAGCCCATGAGTCAATATTTATAAACCAATAATTTTGTTGTGATGAGTTTTGGTATAGATCAATCAAATTTATTTATTGATAATCTAATATGTGTCTGGTAAGTACTCAGATTCATAGATTCATGAGAAAACTAATATTTATTTTGTAATAAAAATATAAGATAAAAAGATTGCATATGTGAACAGGCAAGGGGAAAAGAAGTTTCCTAGTGTCTAACGTTTATGGAATGAGACTTGATATAAATGACCTGATGTATGTGAAAGAGTAGGGGGCTAATTTTTTGAGGACCAACTCTATCCTTTATTCTGGGAGAGGAACTTTATTTATTATTCAACCCTGGAGGTAATTATTATTTCCATCACTCTAGAAATAAGGAAACTGAGCCTGGGAGGTTAAATGATCTCATGGCTAATACATGGTGAGACCAGGATTTGAATACAATTAGAAAGCCTCCCTTTTACTGCACCACACAGCCAATTTTGTAAACAGTATACAGCAACAAAAAGGTAAGGTGTCAATAAGGGTTCAGTGCATGAAGCAGAAACCACTCTAGATATTTTATGCAAGCAGAGATTTACTTCAGGGATTTTGGAGCTTACAAATTTGCTGGAAAGGCCAGAGAAGCAGGTTCTAAGATAAGCCCCCTAGATAAGTTCCATAAATATGCAAAAGGTGATACCATTGGACCACCATTAGACCTATATCAGAGCAAGAACTACATCCACTGCTTCCCTAACTGTCTGAGAAATCTGGAGAATGGTCAATTAAAATTGTTATCCAGGGAAGTTAAATCAGGAATTCACTGTTGCTGCTATTGCTTCTGGATACCCAAGAAACTGGAGGATGAATAATGTAAAGTTTCGGTAGGGAAGCCTCATGTTTCCATGGCTGTACTAGCCAGCAGCAGCAGCCGAGAGTCAGGAAGATGGTCTTTGCCTCAGTAGTGTCTTCCACAAATTATCTGAGCATATTAACGTTGTGGAACCTAATTTGCATATAGAACCCTACTTCCAAGGGAGTCTGGGAAATAGAAATTTTAGTTTTCCAGTTTTCAACTAGAAAGAGGAGAAAATGGAGGTTGAGTAAGCCATTCCAAAAAAGATATCATTATTATTAGTTAAAAATGTAATAATTATTACTATCTGTAGGTTCTATGTAACTCGGTGGACCATGAAATGGAAGTCTAATGTACTCTGCAGTGGTCATCTGATCTTTTAGTCTCTTTGCTACTCTTGATGTCTGCAGGACACTCCTGACCAAATAAGACCTCTGCTTTAGACACAGCTGTTGTGTTTTTTTTTTTTTTTATATCAACTCAGAGAGCAATTGTGTCTAACAGCAGTGTTATGGTCCACTGACTGCTGAAATGTAGCACTCTAACAGCCATGGACTTTGAAATGTTTATAACAAGTATTTAATCTGAAAACATGAAAGAGGAAGGCTTCTGAATATAACTTATAATCAGACTAACTCTTATGTAGGTATTGAACAGCATATAGAATTAATACTTGGGCCTTGGATTTTGAGGTTAATGTTGTCCTCCTTCATGAGACATAGTGACATCAGCAGGTGAACTGAAGGTTAAAATCCCAATTGTTTTGAAGGGACATCAAGCCTTATGCATTTGAATTAGTACTCAAACTAGCAGGGGAATAGGATAATTAACATATATGAAACTACATATTTTAAGACAAAGCAAAACCTAAAATGAACCTTACAGAGGACCTTTGGATAAACACTGTGTTATGTCATAGCTAACAATGTCAATGGTCTTAGATATTACAGATGAAGAGTTTTATTTATGCAAGTTTGTGGACTTTTCCTGAATTCCCAACATGTATTTTATTATATGTTGACCTTTTATTCCTTTAATTTTTCAAGCATATACTACTTAATACCACGAGTTTTTATTTCTTCCCCAAGGTACTTAGTTCCTGAAATTGAATAGCAACTTCACATATCTACACTTTGCCTGAAGTGTTAATATGCTTTAATTAGTGTGGAAATATTTCCAAGCTTTCAAAGTACTTTTATGCAGACCATAATCCAAAGCAAAAGGAAAAAATACTACTGTTCACATGAATGACTGCTCTATTCTAAAAGTGCTCAAGAAAACTCAACTTTCAGAAGAGTACTAGAAGAAGACTAAACAGTAACTTAGAAATTTCCGTGGTAGTAAAAGATGATTCAATATTTTGCACTCAGCTATTTGAAGTGTGCTTCAGTTTTTATTTTAATTTTTCTTGTGAATCTTTCATCAATAAGATTGTCAAAATAAGTTTCTATGGGAACTTAGCTGTTAATCAGTGAAAAGAGACAAAATACTTAAGAATAAAATTGATCATATTATACAATTACATTGCAGATAAGTGCATATAACAGTGTGTGGACTTATTACATGGCTCAGAGATTCTGAATGCTAGCAGTGGTACAGCTGTACAATGTTTTTATGAGTGTATGTTGGAGCTGTGTGAGCCTAAATATACTTATGTGTTTGTGCTCTATCCAGGGCATTTGTCAACTTCAGTCAATGAATTTGGGGGAGCTGTGTTTCTGAATCTATCTTGGTCTATCATGTGTCACATGTGAATGTACATGAGTCAAAGGGTGAGTACAGGTGAATATAATTTTGTATTTATGTTACTTGTATGTAAACATACAAGTGAGTATGTTTGCATTTAGATAAGCTATTCTTATCTATTTGTCTTATATTGTTGTTTCTAAAACATTGATTACCAATATTGATTAGCAGTGTCCTGTTAGTTTTCTGCCATCCTGGCCATTCATCATCACCAAGATGGAACTTAAATGATATCTTTCATGTCTTTGCTGCCTCAACAACCCTAGACTAAGAATCAGGAATCAGAACAAAATACTGATCACAACCCCATCCTCAAACACAAAGGACAAAGCAAGAGATGTACCTAATGCCTCAGCTATGAGGTCACTGCTGTTTTATATTTTTATCTAGTACCTTGCAAATTGATTTAGCTTGCAATAAGCAAAATAATTCCCCTCTCCACAGTTCTCCCATACCTGCTTTTTCAGTAGATTTGAAACTTATGAAAACACCTTGCAATTTCTGCTCTTTTCTCTTTATCTTGGAGATAACTGAAAAGAAGACCAGAGTAAGTTGATCATCCTATGAGCTGAGAGAAAAAGAGCCACAGGTCTTGGATTGGAAGATGAAGCTGAAATCATTAAAGGTTAGAAGAGAAATCAGGAAAAAATGATTAGCAGACAAATTCTGGCTATATTTACATGAAGAAATCTGTGAAAATTTGAGTCATTAATTTGTGATATTGGTATATTTTGTAGCACAACTGCTCACAGCAAGAGCAAATGGTCTCATGACTACCATAATAGGGGAATTGCAGTTGAGATTGTAAGGTTCTGATTTCTGCAGATCTATAAGCCAAAATGGTATATACTTAAAAAACAATGTCAAGACTAATTCAGCAGCTTTAAAGAGTCTTAGGGACAGACTTCCCCCAGGAGGTTCATGGACATTAAAGCCAATTCAAGCTGCAATGCAGTGCCCCAAGGATTTATACAAATAAGAGCAAAGGGATTACATTTCAGAACTGTATAAAATTCTTTGGTCCACAAACAGGCTTTCTGAAAATCAGCCCTAGAGACTTTTCAACAAAAGCATATTTCACCTTTAGGCTTTGGAGTTGTTCTTACTTACGTGGGCACCCATAGCTGGCTTTTCTCCTAGATCTGTCCATGGACTTCATTTCAGCCAGGTTTTACTATGCAGAGAATAGTAGTTGAGACAGTATGAATTGGTAGCTATGTGATTCTTAGAAAAATGCATGGAAAAGAATGGCAAAATTTGAGTGTAGGCCAGTAAAAGTTGGTCTCACCAACAGCAGTTTGTTCTACAAATTTTCCAAAGATGCACTGTGTTTGAAAAACACATCTTTTTCTTACCTGGCTACATCTGATATCTCATTCCCTTCCTGTTTCATCTCTGGCTCTAGGTTTGATCTTATCTATAGAATATTGCCTGCTTTCCTCCTTTAGCTTCTTGACCCAAACTATTCCCTGGGCTTACTGTGGTCACTTTGTCCCTTAAATTGGCACCAGTTTCTTTGTGCTATCTCATTTTGCTGACTCAGATTATAATATATAAGAAGGCAAGTGTGCCATCAGAAGATAAATGTTTATTGAGTGCCAATCTTAGGATGAAGTCTGAGACTCCGTTGTTCCTGTTATTGACTGAGTATATCAGCCAGGGTTCAGTCCAGAAAACAGAAGTCCTATATGTATTCCAAGAATGAAGGGATTAATAAGGAATTTGAAGTTTACAAAATCATTGGCAGGGCTGAGGAAAAAAGGTCAGAAAAGTCACCCTTAATACATCACTGAAGCGAGTGGTTCCTCAAGCTCCCTTGGAAGCCACTGCAAATGTCAAACTTCTCTGGAAAGCTTCCACTAACTGCCCTGCTATGCAGCGTTTAAATGAGAGGTTTGCAAAGGGTTGCTCAGAAGCTGCTGTGACTCTCGTGTCTGCTCATGCATATGGCTGCATCTGCCTCTGGGAAATTATGGCCTTTCTTTGGTGCACTTGAGATCATCTTGTAAAAATAAGATGATCTCCCACCCCAAATTTGGTTTGCATATCAATACTAATGATATCCATGCATATAGCAAGAGGGTATGACAAGGTTTATTACTCACATCATGAGGCTTTCTGCAGAGAGCAGGATATGATCCCAAGCAGATTCACAAAATGGCTTGAGAAGACAGAGAAAGGAGACTGGCTTTTATTGTGGTTAGGAGGTAGGGTTGTCATGATTTCTGCACTTGTGCACGCATACACACACGTCCACATGCATGCACAGGTCAGAGCTTGCATAGTTTCAACTTCTCACAGGTGCCAAATGAAAGTGTTCCCAGGCTTTCTTAGCATTCCCAGATCTGGGGCAGAAGGGGAAAGGGGCATAGCGGGGCTTGAAAACTGTCAGTCGTCAAACATCAAAACTGGAGTTAACTCTTTATTACAACACTATCTTGGAACCATGTGGGGAAGGGGATTTGGGGATATTTATAGGGGATGATGGTGATACTGAGTTAAACAGCCAAAAATCTCATACATTAGGCACGGGCTTGGCTCCCTTTATGCCATGTCATTAAGGCCTGCAGGACACCACTTTCCACTTAAGCATTATTTCCTATAAATGGAACTGTCGCTTTTGAATTTAAAAAAATATTCATTTTAATGATCAAGATAGAGACCAGAGGACCCTTTTAAATATGTAAAGAGAATTAAAAAAAAACAAAAACCCACTAAGTGACATAAGTCTTAGGCCATAGTGAATTAACTAAACTTGAATAGGTTTTCCCCCAGAAAAGAGGATTGATACTTGAACATAATATAGTTATCTTATTGAGGCAATTCACATTATTATACACAGGATCACGCTTTTTCAAAATTTCTCAAAGAAAAATGGTACAATGCTATGAATTTGTATATTCACCCCCAGCATATACATTAACTGGGAATTTCAGCCTCATTAAGAAAAACTTTTTAAAAAATAGGAATTATGTGCATGATAACTGCTTAGTTTTAGCCAGGGTTTCTTGACAGTGGATAATCTAGTTCTTGAAGTATTTTGGTTCAAATCTGAGAGAGTAGAATATTTTAGAGGCTTAAATTGTTAAGTAGATTACCTAAGTAATTAATATCAAGGACTCCCTAGAATCCAGATTATATAAGGAATTACCAAAATATGCCTGTCGATGTGACAAACACTAGGTTAGGCACTGGGGATACAAAGATGAATAAAATGTTCTCTTTTCTTTAAGGAACTTGATAGTTTATTCAAATTAGTTTTTTAGGATTAAAGGATTCTGAGATTTCAAGGTATAAAAATAGTTTGCAGTTAAAGCTAATGCTATCTATTAAACACTCACTTCCACAAACCATAGCCTACTGCTACCAGAGTTTCAAAAAACAAAACAAAACAAAAATTTCTGTGAAAAACAAGTTTCAAGTTTCAGCACTATTTACTTAAATAAATTCTTGAAAGTAAAAAGAAAAACTAGCCAGGCAAGGACAAATTCTAATTTGGTCTTGAATGTTGTCCATGACAGACTGATGACAACTGACAGTATTGTCCAGCAGTCTTAACATAACACTGATTTCCATTTAAAACAGAGAAAACAGGGACTTGCCGCTTGTTGAAGTCAGGCACCTCTGAGAGATGCTTTATATTATATATTCCGAGACACATCTTTCCAGGTAATGAGGTATGAGAGTGACTGATAAGCGCATAGAATGTGGAAGAGAACAAAATAATAAAACAAGCATGTTCACCCTTAGCCATGATTGAATACAGTAAATAAGCAAAAAATTTTTTTACTAAAAATGTTGTGTATGGAGAGTTGGAAATCTTTTAAAGTTGTTTTTAAAACCTACAGTCTAGAATTGCAAATGATTTTAATTCTCCAATCATTCTGCTCTAGTTAGTGAAGAGGTTTTAATATGCATTATGAGATGGAAATGCATAAACTTTATAATTTAGCACGGAATTGCTGATTTTTATAGGTGAACTTGAAAAAAATATTTTAACATATTTTCTTTTTCCACTAGTGCTGGGCCCAACCCTGATGATTTTAGCTAATGTTTGCGGGGGAGATACATGTGTGGAAGGGGGGAAGTTATTGTTGTTATTTTAATCCGGTAATACTATATTTTGGAAAACCCTTGATTTATATTATTTTACATGATCCACACAACAGTCTTGCAAGGTAGAAAGAACAAATATTTTCACACCCAATTTACAGAGGAAAACTGAGATTTGAGGAGGGTGATTAATTTTCCAAGGTCTCATGTCTGGCTACCCACAAAGTCAGAGAAAAGCCAAATCTGCTTACTCCTAGTCCAGCTCTTGGTCTGCTACACAGTGCTATCTCCTTACAAGTAGTGTCCTCCTACAGCCTCTGATTTTGTTGTTCCTAATGTGAGGTTTTGACACTTTTGATTTGTATATGATAGTATATGTTGAATTTTTTTCCCCTTTTGGGACAAATTCTAATATTAACCCAAGGAATTTAGGCTGGGGGATGAAGTACCAGATTACTTTTATTAAAATATACATCTTCAGTTATTTTAAATGTGAGTAAAATTACAGAAAAGTAAAAGGAAGAAAAATAATGTTTATTTATGAGTTTTTTCTTTATGTATTTATCAAGTCATTTAATTTTATCAGGGTTTGACAAACACATAAGACTTTAGAATTAAACTATAGAATTCTAGAGTCTCTTAAATCTCACATTAAGATTTTTTTAGGCATTAAATATTTTATCTTATTTTATGTGGCAATGCTATATGTGTTAGTTAACATTTTTTAAATGGACCTTATTTTTTAGACCAGTTTTAGGCTCCTAGAGAGGAAGTTATCTTTTTACTCAAGGCTTGTAATTCATTCTTTTGTTATTGGAATACAAATAATTTCATAAAAATGCCTGAGGGACAAAAACTTGCAATTAAATGTCAAATATAAGCCTTACTGAGGGCACTGATGTTATTTTCTATTAAAATGATTTTATATTGATTAAAATTAAAGATCTTTAGTTCTTGCCTGGAACACATGAATAATTTCTGCAGTGATATTTTTTAAAAAGTTTTTAGATAATGTATCATGATAAACTTAATGTAATCTTATGAGTGCATTTTTACCCATTTTGTCACAGTTTGTCATTTACCAAATAAAAAGAGAGTTTGAGATCATGGAAAGAGCAGAAGACTGAGTTTAATTTTCCACTCTCCTATTTACTAATTGTGTGAATTTTTTCTTTCTTCCCCCTGAAACCGTCTTTCCCCAGATCTTCACATCTATGGTTCCTCATCATTGCTCAGGTCTCAGCTCAGATATTACCTCTTCATTCATTCTTTATCATTCATGATGCTACCCACCCCTGTCCTACATAAGTTGTACTACACTTCAGTTGCTTTCTCATATGGCCATGTTTTGTTGTCTTTATTGCATTTATCATTATGTGAAATGATCTTGTTTCAATATTAATTGTGTTTTACTGAATAGAGTAATATCCCAACAGCAAGATGACAGAGTATTGAAGTTGACTTCGTGTTTCCGCAATGCATTGCATCATTTTAACTAGTTGGATATCTTAAGTCCTTCAGGGCTATTTCCTGTCCTTAACAGTGAACTGTATTATGACATCACGCAGAGCCCATCGTGCTAGCAGCAGCCCTGCTAGCAATGCTTCCTCGCTTCCTCACTTATGCTTGTAGAATTGGGGTCAGCCTGACCTCTGAGTGTGTTTTATTTACTATCTTCTACAGGTAGTTATGGGATAAATGTGTAACCTTATTCCACTCTAAGAGAATATAGAACTGACGCTGTGTAGTACAAAAAAGTTCTCTTTCAGGATATGTTTTTTTCTGACATCAAGTTGAAATGTAGTTGCTTTGTTGTATGGAGATTTGGTTTAAAATTTATTTGTCAGAAATATTCAACACAGTGATCTCTGGAGTCAAAGAGAATTCAAGTATTTCAGCGGTATAAAGTTGAATACATTATTTCCTCCTCCACGATTCAGAAACTGGATAAAATCATACAAAATTAATTTTTCCACTGAGTTCTGATTTTCACATGAGTTCTGATTTTCACATGTTCAGAGTTAGCCCATCTCAAGGTCTTTTTTGAATGACATGCTTGCAGATGTTTTTCACATGTTTTTTTCACTCCTTTGAAAGCTCAGCAGCTATACACTTGCAAGCTAAGCCTTGTTCCCTGAATTTGCCAAGGGGCTGCAGAGGTAAGTCAGTTCTAGCCAGTCTAATCTCCAGTAGGAATCATTCTGGGGAACTTGACACCTACTGTTGCCATGGTGGCATTTAGCTCATCCCCACATCAGCCCTGTGACTCCTGTTTTCCTATCACACCCTCTGGACCCATAGGCCACATTTCCTGTCACCCCTTCCCTATCATGCCCTTCTCATGACTCCTTTGATGACTGGGCATGGTCTCAAATGGAAGTTTGGCAAAACCAGATGTGAACCTTGTAAGATGGATGGGTGGTCCCTGGAGTGATCAGTTTACAGTTTCAAGTTGGAACGCTGAGTTGAAAGCCAAAGAAAATCTTATGAAATAGAGAAGAAAAGTTACTTCACATTTTCCAGCTCAGTTTTAGTTCATTTCATGAGCATCAGCAAAAACAATCTACTTCACCTAGATACAAGTCTGAATTTCCCAAAATATTTTCTTTATCAAAGAAAGTAGGAAAAATGTGAGTTATGCTTAGTAGAAGTGATTGTGGAATGAAAAAAAAAAATGATGAATAAAGTTAGTCTTGCTGATAAATAAATAGACTGTTAAAACTTTAGATTTCAAATAATGTTTGCAATAAATGAAATGTAAAGGAGCACTAAGCACTTAACATTTGCTGCCTAGTGAACGCTGAACTTAAATGCTACCTGTTATTTGAAGGCTCTTCCATTTCCAGGCAGAATTAATTACTCTCTCAACTGTGGTTGTAGCACTACCACAGTTCTCTATTATTGCATTCATCATTGTAGTATTTTTATGTCATTAGTTTGCTCATTCATGCATTTATTCAATAAAGCAATGTGGTTAAGAGCATGGGCTCTGGACCCAGATTGCCCTGGTTGCAGTCCTGTCCCTGACTCCCTCCCTCCCTCCCTCCCTTCCTTCCTATTTTTATTTTTTTAAAAAAACATTTTATTTTGAATATTTAAAGTATT